ATAAAAAAGTAAAAGCAGTTAGCAAAAGTGAAAGGAAGCGAAGGAGTAGTCCCTTCTCAATTGCAGAATAATCGCTATATAATCTATTTATTTTTTATAAATTATTACCCCCAAGACTGCCGCTTCATCAAAAGGTCTTTGCCTTGTGAATGTAAAATCGAACGGGTGATCGAGCAGAAGTAGCTCCTCCTTAGTACTTAAATAAGTCACTTCTTAGTTTACACTGCAAGTACTAGTAGATAGCTAAAGAACCACACATGCTCTTGACGAAAAGAATTCTCATCGCCTCTTTTAGACCAGCTAGCCATGAAAAAGTGAAGGGAAAAAGGAAAGACATTCCCCTAAAGAAGCAAATCGTTATTTTACTTTGCACATACTAGATAGCTAAAGAGAATACACCAGTTCTTGATAAAAAGAACTGCCATTGAGAAGGGGAGGAGAAAACTCAAAATGAAGAAAAAGTATAGTCGAACTTCTTTTTAATATTTTATATAAGTAAAAAGTGGTACTTAAACTTTGATGCCTATTATCCAAATTTAAGTAAGAAAAGGAGATCCACATTTTGTATGATCATTTGATTAGAGAGCTTAACTTTAACATTTGTAGGACACAGATTCTTCAGCATTAACCACTGCTTTATGCAACCACAATGGAATTCATGCCCACAATCCAATATGCCCATCTCATCTCCAGTTATGTATTCCTCCCGACACAGATTCTTCAGCATTAACCACTGCTTCTCCCCTCTTTGTCTTTTAATATCAAGCAAATATATTAATTTTGATTACACATTCCAGTAGTTAACTTTTAAAGGCTCTATTCCTGCATATGTAGAGTACCTAATAAGAGTTTAATACATATGTGTTGTTGAACAAAATTGTCGGATATTTTTATGATGCAACAAGTAATCTAGACAGTTAAACCAGCTTTTTTCACAGTAATTCTAGCCTCTCACCATTTATTTATTATAGAAGTAAAACGAGGCTAATCTTTTCTCTTAGCTTTTTCACGTGTTCCATAAGATTTCTATTTCCCAAATATCTCTCCAGGGCATGCAACCTAGGTATGCAAACCATGCAAGGAACTTGACCTCTCCTGTTTTGTTTTCAACTAGTGACAACTTGGATGCATATTCAAACGATACCAGAGGTCAAACTTTGTAAGTCTACCCACTTTATACACTTCATTGTGCATGTCCCCATGTGCTGGCTCATTTGATTGTGCATCCATCCAGGATTGTTGTGTCTATAATCTAATTTGATTGTGCTTCCGTCCAGGACTGTTTGTCTATAATCTAATTGTTTAAAAACTATTTATCTACTATCTATCCATCATTCTATCTCTATAGTTCTTGGTTTCTGTCTATAGGGAGCAAAAATTGCATGATCTGAAGTTAGAAATGTAGAAAACAAAAGGGCAGCCCGGTGTACGAAGCATCCCGCGTTCATGCAAGGTCTGGGGAAGGGCCGCATCCCAAGGATGTGTGATGTAAAAGATATAAATAAATCAAATATCCACTCTTCAATAATTTAAGCTTTTAGGTGAGACTGTTTACCAATTCAACATGGTATTGAAGAAAGCATAGGTCCTGCTTTCGAGTCTCGCCTCACTCTTTCATTAAAAAGAAAACTTCCACTTGCTTGGCCCATGAAAAAGAATCTCGGCTGCACAAGAGGGAGTGTGTTGAAGACCTAAAATAAATAAATAAAAGTATTGTTTTGTTAACATTTTGAACTTTTAGATGAAATGTTTCACACGATTCAACTGGGTGTTGATTATATACAATCCCACATTGGTCAAAAGAGGTCTATAAAGGTTTGGGGATGCTCCACCCATTGCTTTATGATTTTGCATTGGTGTGTTCAAATTCTTTGGCATGGTATTAAGCAACCTTTAGAAAGACCTTTCTAATGCACTTAAGTCTGCATTAAAGTGCACGTATTAACCCTAAAATTATATTGCACATAAAAGAGGGTGTTGAGTCATATAATGTCCACAACAGGTATATTAGGGGCATCTAAGGGTTTATAAAAGTGTTGGACTAGTCAATGCATTGCCCTAAGTTTTGGGTTGGATACCCGAACTCTTTTACATTGAATGAGTTCACTGAACTCTTAGTTGAGTCGCTAGAGCTGCATAGCTGAGTATTTTCTTTCCACTCATTCTTAACGCAGATTTGATCATTTTGTCAGTAACTTTTTGATTTTTGTATCACTCCTTTCCCTGTTACTAAAGAGTATAGTATCTGAATTTTAGGGTTCACGACACCATAGAAGCTGAGATTAGCACAGACGATGATTTTTCTGGTACCGAAGATCTCCTGGAGTCATCTGAAGCTTCATCAGAAGAAAACTCAGAGGGGCAAAGTGATTTTGACCTACCGAGCAACAGACCTGGCACTGATGTGGTGTTGGAGCCAGATTATTTATCTGCTTTAAGTTTTATTGATGATGGTCTTTTGCAGAAGCAGAAGTTTCCGCAAGATGAGATTTCATGCTCTGCAGAATATGTTTCGTGTAAATCATGTAGAAGGATGGAAATATCTTCCACGGATGTTAGTAACAGTGAAAGAGCTGCATGTGACAGTTCTCTGCCCTATAGAAGTGGGGAACAAAGTACGCTGCAGGATCTTGATAACCGGATCACTAATAGTTGCCACAATACTTGCTGTCTGTCTGATTGCTTTCCAGGAAATCTTCTGAATATTGATAGGAGGAGCTCTCAGAGTACATGGTCGCATGAAGTTGAGATTGAGCCGGAAGTAGGCAGTTGTAAATTTGGTGTCCAGTTGCCTAACAACGTAGATTCTAGTGGTTCAGTTCTACCTCGAAATCCTTCATTGCCTGAGGCTTATGAAAAGGATCAGCATCCATATAGAGCTTGTACTTTTTTAAGTTCAACAAGTTTGCCATCATGGAAGCTGAAGCATAACTCCGACTTTCTAAGCATGAACCCAATTTTGGCTAGAAGTTCTCTTGTTAACCCAAAGAGGGAGCCTGAACAAATGTTCTCAAGAGATTCTAGGCAATCTTTTCCTTTTTTTAATTTCACATCTATCAGAGATCCTTGCGAGGTTTATATAGAAAAGTTTGCTGCCAATTCTAGAGATCAGTTAGGAGCTGGGGTTTCTGTTTTGACTGGTACAGCAGCTACTGCTGCTGTTCTTACTAGTTGTCAACATAACTTAAAAGATCACTCTGATAAGAACTTGGAGAAAAAGGAAGAGCTGTCTCATACTTGTTCCCCTGTAGGTTCCGAGGCTCACATTCAAAAAATCTCATCATTGGAAAATGCTGCTGGTGGGAGTGGTTGGGAGAGACTGCTTGCTAATTCTAGCAAGATTGCCAGTACAACTGCTAGATTTCCGAAGACTAGTTTGGTGACAGTCCTTGAGATGCCACTGGATCATATTATCAAAAAGTGCCTGTTGGAGGAGATTTTGCTTCAGTATCCTTATATATTCTAGATGCATGAAATGCAGCTTATCAACACTTGCAGTAAACTGTCTTTATTTTCCCTTGTTTGTTTATGCTTTACTACTGTGGCGTCCAACTTTTCTCCCCATTCATGACGAGGAAAGAATTTCATTTACATTTTTCTGACTACTTAGCAAAGAAGATTAAAATCAAGATAGCCCAAAAATTGGATGTGTGTCAAGACGCTGTCGGGCTCCGGCCGCTGACTCAAGTGCCCCCATTATGAAGTTAAATATTAACGAAAGAGGTAGAGATGCTCATGCTTCTAGTACCTCAAATGTTGATATTCCTGTGACCTGTAGTGCTAAAATATTATTCAATAAGGGACGATCATCTATGTAGTTGACATGATGCTTGATAAAATATGAGTATTCAAGGATTTTGAAGTTGGAATTATTTTAGACATACCTGATTTATGCAGTCTCAGATGATGGGTTTTCATGAAAAATCGGTTAGTTCAAGGTCAGTGAAGTATTTGAGTTGCAGGGCTGATGTTCCTTGGTGGGCCAGTCCTCTAGAACCAATTTCCTTCTCCAAGTTTGAATAGTGACCATTGTCTTGCCCACTTTGACATCTGTAAACTGTGTTTTAGATCCATTGTTCCTCGGCGGGCCATAGTTCTCTTATGTTCTCCTTTGAATCCTCAACTTTGATACTTTCTTCAGCTATTTTATATCTGCGAAAGTGATATTTTCATTTCTTTCTCTAATTTTAAGAAGAGTGTTATTCGAAAAGAAATGATTGTTTTTTCATATATATATAAAAAAGAAATGATTGTTTTGCTTAAACTTTTATTTGTTATTAATCACCATCATCACAATGTTCTTTAAGTAACCCTTACCTGTTGGGGAGCAGGCAAAGGCATTCTTATATGGCCTCTCATTTTTTCCTTGACATTGCTAGATACAAATACTTGAGCAAGTTAACTATACAATTACTTGATAAAGGTTTTAGTTTGCATGAACATTTGCTGGCTCTAAGGAGGTATCATTTTATGGAATTAGCAGATTGGGCACATCTGTTTGTCAGCTCTCTTCAGCATCATGTATGTTCTTCTCCCACTTTATAGCTTGTTTTTTACTTTCCTTTTCTTGATTTGTGTATTTTCTCGAAACAGAAATGGTACACCGTAGAGGCAGAAAAGAGAATATCAGCAATTCAGGGCATTCTTGAGTTGTCAGTTCAGAGATCTTCTTGTGAAGGGGACCCTTATAAGGATCGTTTGTTTGTCTATGTGAAAGGGAGTATGACAAACATCTCAGTTTCTGGTAGAGGAACATTTTATGGTATGGCAAACATCTTCTTGTGAAGGGGACCCTTACGTTTTACCTTTTCTCTGTCCATTTGTTTCTCTGCATCTGTATATATGGTGCATTATCTTCTACAGGCATTTTTGGTTCAGCTTTTAGAACTATATTACTCTTGGCAGGAATCCACTCCTTTGATTGTTTGGGTTTGGGTTATCGAGTAGATTGGCCACTCAGCATCATATTGTCTCCTGGCGCACTAAAAATGTACTCGGACATCTTTAGTTTTCTGATACAAGTCAAGCTTGCTGCTTTCTCTTTAAGTGATATATGGCGCTCATTAAAGGTACTGATTTGATATTGGTCCCATAGTTTATTAAATTCATCATGTATATATATGTAATGCGTGGATTTTATGTTTCTATGTCTTTGCTCAACCCTTCTCATTTTCTTTTCTTTGCTTATTCCCTGTCTCTTTATATTTATTCTGAGAACTTGTATACACCTAGTTCGTTGAAGTTAAAGCAAGTTCCAGCCTGCTTGGGATTGACCAATGAAGCAGTTACGGGTTACCTAATATTGAAATTACCTCTTGTGTGACCATGGAAAGCCCTATTTCATTTCTTTTCATTAGCCTATACAGGTTGAGAACAGGGATATCCATGTTTAATTTGTTGTCAAATGCCTTGTGAAGGCATTGATTTATGGAGCCTACAGGTTAGTAACTGAATCTATATTGTATGAAGGAATGAAGAGTGGGCTTAATTGTTTTGCGGTATAATTGTTAAGTATTGAAAATCGTGGTTCAGTCACCGCAATCCAATACCATTTAATATGACTTATTTTTCCTTAGTTTTGGAATTCTTTCTAGTGGCCGCCATCACAGTTTAGTTAGTGTTTGAATGCATTTGATTTTGAAGGGCTTCAACTAAGGTGGAGAAGTATTTTAGGAAGTTTATATCTCTTATATCTTACCCCTTCCCTATCATGCTGATAAAATGAAACAATAACTGAGGGTGCATATTTACATTAAATCCTCCCAAAACCAAATAAAATAAAATAAAATGATTACACTGCACAGGATAATCACAACTGTAGTTTTGACAGTTGGCTCAACCAAATTATTTTACATAAGTGATGCTTTAAGTCACCTAATAATTTTGATATGTTGTCCTTGTGAACAGGATCTCTCTAAATTGGACAAGAAGAATCAACATTTTGCGTTTGGCAATGCAGAACCAAAGCAACTGTCCATCTTAATTGAAACAAGGTCCTTTTTACGTTTTAATTATTGTTGTCTTCTTTCTTTCTGGCTAACTTGATGTCATTTGACCCAAGGCTTGTCTGGTAACTCTATGTGAAAGGAATAATCACAAGATATTATGCTTTTGTGTATGACATGTTTTTCCGTATGATGTTGCTTGCTCTTTTATGGGTTTTTTTATTAAGAGGTTGTGTGCAATCATATATGCAGAAAGATGCTAGCTTTTTCCGAGCTTGTTCAAAGTTGAGATATTTCAGATCTTGCTATAGAGTTTCTTTTGATAGAAACCTAAGAAGCACGCTGCCACACCGTGCATTTCTTGGTTATCTTGGAAACGCGAAGCAAAGCAACTGTGCGCTATTTCGTGTTGCGCTTAAACACTTGTTGGGTCATAATCACATTGATGCTAAATGTAAATGAAATGTCTTAAGAGTCACAATGAAAATGGACCTAAGACCTATATCTACGACCCGAAGTAACTTGTTGAGCATTGTGGCGAGAAAAGTCTAACCGAAGCAAGTTGGTATGACATGACGCTTGGAGGGTCTGCGACTTAGCTGTGAGTTTGAATATTATAGTTGTATATAAAATATATTAGTGATGTTGGAAGAAAGTAAATGTGTTAAGTGTAAACCATCTATAAAAGCCCGTAGACATCACTATTCTTCAATCTCTTCTCTTATATCTAACATAAGCTTATCCCATGATTTTCTACTCAATCATATATGCTATATGTGCTGAGTCGTTTCATTACTTTTGTGGTTAGAGTCTGCTACTTTCTGCTGTTTTACTTACGTGGTTCTGAATTTCATTCCAGGCACCAGCTTAATCATTTTGTATGTACGTTGCAGCAATATGTACAATCACAACTATCTCATGTGTCCTGGTGCAGATTCATGCATTCTCTTAAGGATAAGGTTTGGAGCACCTTCTGATCTGGGTTTTAATGAATTTCACCTTTTCCCCCTTTATTTGCTGTTTGGTTTGTGATTATCAGCCTCTTGCTAGTCTTAATCTTGTGCATTTCAGTATCCTACAATATGCTTTATATAATGTTGTTTTAGAATGGTTCCAACTTCTGAAGCTGAATCAAGGAGCCTGGGAATTTTCTCTCTCTACTTTCAAGCTCTCAGGCACACTCCCCGAGGAGCCTGGGAATCAAGGAATCTTAGGTTTCCATGAACACCATTAGAAAGCCCTCAAAATTCCGACCACTCCACTGAAATTTTTCTGACGAAGAAGCTGCCACGCGCGGCACTTTCCGGCGACCTAGTCGCCACGCGCCGGCACGTGAGCCCTTCTCCGGCAGCTTTTCAAAATTTTTTTTTGGACAACATCCTCTACTGATAATTCCGACCAGATCTGTACAATTTTTTCAGATTTCCGACGACTTTTATTTTTCCGGGGAGCGGGGAACCTCTGTTTAGTCCAGATTTCAGTTTCTTTTACCTCAACAACTCAACTGTGATAACCATCAAACACTCCTTATAATTTCCATAACCTGAGCAGCTGGGTGGTACAATATGGGAGACGACCAGATTTATTTCAACGCAGGATTCAAATCTTTTGACATCACCAGATGGAATTCCTACAAAGATGTATGGTTCGAATGGGTGGAGAGGAGCCGCATCATGATGAGACGTTCATCCATGGGCAGAAAGGCAATGGAATGGATTTGTTTCGTACTTAAAGAAGCGTCGACAGATCAAATGAATTTAGTGAAGCGATGGAAGTACAAGGAACATATGACAGAACATTTCTGTACCAGGAAATTCAACGTTCATGGAAGATATATGAGCATTCTGTCACTGAAGGGAGAAGGGAGGTCTGTTATTATAATTCCAGAGTTAGCTTTGAATGCAGGTTGGAAAGACATAGCAGCTAAGATAGAAAGATTCACACATCAGACCTCCAAAATGAATCCCACAGTTCCACCTAGAATCACTGTGGACAACTATCCTTATGTCAAAGAAATCAAGGAGAGTAAATGACAATCAAATACCCTTCGTGAGGCAAAGGTCAGCATAAACAATGGAGATATCTCTGTTGTGGAACCGACAAGTAGCGAGGATTCTGGTTTACTAAAAAGATGCATTGTCGAGTTTTTTGGGAATGAAATCAATGAGAGACCCACTTTAGCAGACATAAGGCGATGGGCTAGTGCTTCATGGAACAAAGCATATGGAGTAAACATGTATGAAATGACAGGCAACATGTTTCTATTTGAATTTCCAAACAGATTCATGGCGGAGCAGATTTTGCAAGGAGACTGGAGATGGAAAAAGTTCAAGCTTCACCTGGAATGGTGGAATCATACTGTTGGATGCATTCCAACCTCACAAATTGCGGAAACATGCTAGATTAGAGCCATGGGGATTCCTTTACATCTATGGTCATAAAAGATCTTCAAAGAAATAAGAGATCTCTGTGGAGGATGGATAGCTACTGAAGAAGAAACTGATCTCAAAAATCATCTTAAGTGGGCAAGAATTAAAATTGTTGGTGATGGCAGAAAGATTCCCAATGAGGTTGGGATTGAAAGAGACGGTATCAAATTTTTCATCCCAATCTGGGCTGAAAGACAGGCAAGATTTGAGCTGAAGATGCAGGAAAACGAACAATCCTTTGAAGCAGAGAGATATTTGAACAATCAAGTGGGATGCACCATATTGCAAAACGCTGATAAAGGAAAGGCAAGTGTGCAACTTATACATGGTTCGAGTTCGATAAATCGGAGCAGTAAAGTGACAAACAACGAGCTGAAATCCTATGACTTCGATTTGGCTGCAGAAGTCATTTTTAATGATCTCTCGTGTGAGTTTTCAGATGATATTAGGCTGAAGCCTTATATTGAGGAAATGGGAGGACCTTCTTACTTCGAGGCAAAAGAGTCTAGTCCAGGGGATCCAATCTCCAATGCAAACCTTGAAAGTATGCCAAAGGCAACACTTAACAGTTGCAGTCAGCCAGAAGGTGGAGCAGAGATAGCAAGACTGGAACAGAAGGCAGGGGAGCAGATCATAAACACAAATATGGGGGAAGATCAAGCTGGAAGTGCTTTGGAACAACTAAAACACTTTAGCTCTATCCAAGATTGGGAAATCGAGGAGGTGACTCCTATAGCAGTTCAACAACACAACCCATTAATGGATAAAGACATGGATGCAACACTATGGGTTCATCAAAATATGATCAAATTGGGGAAAATGTTTGGAGTAGATTTTCAAGGCCATGAAGAAGAAGCATTGGAGTTGTTAATGCAAATTGACAGTTGCAGACATGTTAGAAAGGTGGAGACAGAGTTGGAGGTGAAGAAACAAAGGTTCAAAGGATCACTGGAATTAAAAGGATTAACTTCGTTTGATGTCAAATTCAAGAGTGACGGGAAAAGGAGTGGGGGAAGAGATCTATCAATCCTTTTTTTTTTTGGCAATCCACTAGTCAAGCGCCTAGGGCTAGTTTTTTATTAATAAAAGAAAAGAAAAATACAACAATTAGGAAAAGTACAAATAAGGGGACAATAGCACCGGTATTGTTACCCATATGCCTTGGCTATATAATCACTCCTCTGCGCCTCACACTGCCTTATGAAGACAGCTTCATGTAGAGGATTCATGGTGTAGCTGTCGGCAACGTCTCACGAGGGCATATAATCTCATAGCCGTGTGGATATTTTCCAAAGGCATAGGAACAAGGTAACACAAACCGGGCTAAACCTTACCTTACTAATCCTATCAATCATTTCAATATGAAGATCAAAGTAATTTCCTGGAATGTAAGGGGTTTAAACGACAAGAAGAAAAGGGAGATCATAAAAAGTCAAGTGCAGAACTGGAGGGCAGACATTATATGCATGCAAGAGATAAAAGTGGAGGGGGATATCACGGAAATAGTCAATCAAATATGGGGTGGTAGATGGGTAAGGTATGCAAGTTTAGAAACTAGCGGCACGAGAGGGGGGATTTTGTTATTATGGGATTGCAGAGTATGGAAAGGGGAGATGTTACAGACTGGTGCATACATTTTGACTTGCAAGTTTGAGGCTCTTTTACAGAATTTTCAATGTCACATAACAGGAGTGTATGCCCCAAATTGTAGAATAGAAAGGAAAATAGTATGGAGAGAAATTGGTGCAGTGAGGGGATTGATGGAAGGTCCTTGGGCGGTTTGTGGCGATTTTAATGTTACAAGGTACCCTTCTGAAAAACGGGAATGTTTAAGGAGATCCAGGGCGATGGTGGAATTCTCGGATTTTATAGAAGATATGGAGTTGATAGATCTTCGACTTGAAGGAGGCTACTATACTTGATTCAAAGGGGACAATCACACAACCGCTTCAAGAATTGATAGATTTATCATTTCAGAAGAATGGGATGAAAGCTTCAGAAACATCAAGCAAACTATCCAACAAAGGTTGA